TAATAAAAGCTCAGTATACCGCCGAACTTAGGATTGATAAAGTAAAGAACATGCAATGCACTGCACAGGTCTCGATCCCCTTACATTAGAAGCTTATATAAAAACAGTCACGGCTGAACGAATAATTATTACTTCATGTTTGAACACTAATTTTTTTGATCAGGATTTTTTTCCAAGAATAGTACAGTTACATTGATGCATGTCACAGAGCTGAAAAGTACCATAGAAACAATTGCTGGAGACAGACCGACCGGTTGTTGTCACGATCACATACGTTTGAAGAAGTTTGCTTTAACCAGGAGTATGTACATTGTTAAGGTAAACGTTATTCCGTTTGGGAGTACATGATTTAGCCAAAGCAGGGTTAGTTGTTAGGCAGCACCCGCAACGTTCGGAAGATACGCTAGGTGGAAATTTCTAGGAAAAATGCGTTTGTGCTCTGAGTGTGACATCAATTGTTCGTGCCAGCGGGCGGAACCAATAATACTGGGAATGAATTTTTCGCCAGAATGGCTCATAATTAAATAACTTGTATTGCAGCACGCTGACCCCGAGAGTTTGAGAAATCATTGAGTTTGGCAGTCTCATTTCTGACAACGAGAAGGGATCTATAGGTTTATGTGTGTGCAAAAGTTGACAAAGCCATAATGCTTTAAATACCGTAAGAGGTCGTCTCTGAGGTGCCTGTTTGCTAGAAGGATTTAGAAATTTCAAAGTTATTCGATGAAATTTAACATCCTATGATGTACATGGAAAGCCACGTTCTTACTCAAAATTTGATTGTATGTCGGAAAGCAAACTTAGAACCATGGTCATATAAAAGAAGACGACTAATTAATTAAGTTGAGACCTATTCATCATTTTCTATCCTAATTTATGTTCAGTGATAACTCAGTCTGCCGCGTTGTCATAAACTTCTCTATAGACAAGGAAAAGTTTTCAGATTATTATTTTGCTACCAATGCAAAAACGTTGTCAAGAAACCTATTCTGAGCTTCTTTGGTTGAGCTGAAACATTTGTATACCGCACGTGTACTATAAAATGCTGTTAATCTATTCTTCCAGCTTTGTAGAAAGTAACCAACAAGGGCAAATCATCAGCACATAGTGACCACCGTTCTGGTTCTTGTATTTGTTTATCACCATCATCGGTTGAAATGAATAGTTGCCAAAACGTAACTATCTCGTAGGTAACTCGACCAAAACAAATGTTTATCAATCAGTTTCACTGCGAAGTTGTAGCATCTAACCGCTTGACCATCCAGCCGCTCAGTCGTTTGAGCCTCAAACGTGCCTATTTCAGCGCAAAAAATAGAAATTTATCGAACAGAGCTTCGCCAGCCTTTTTTGGCCAGCGGTTTTGGGTACAAATTTGCTGATGGTGGAATGATGTAGTGACCATTCAAACCCACACCTGGTCCTGTTACTCGTTAGTTGAAGGCGATCACTGAAGTGATGCGTTCATTATCAACATTTGGCCGAATTTATCGTAAATATTTCATTGACAGGAGGAGTAGCAATTGCATATTAAAATGTTGGCACTTTCGAGCGTTCACAGAAGACATAAACATGTGCACGTTGTTAGAATGAAACTGGCCGTAACGATTAACGGTAAGAAAAAGGGCTACTCAGTGCCAATGACAAAGGCTTTTTTTCTACCTAACTACGCTATTTTTGATTCTACATGTATAGATCGTTAAGATAAATGAACTTTAGGGTAACATCCTAAATCTTAGAATCCCCAGCAGACAGACATCTTCCGAATCAAAATGAATCAGAAATAGTTAAATCGGTGCTTGTAAGCTTAAGTACCCCTCTTAAGCTTCTTATACTATTACATCTATAAAGTACGCCCATAAAGTAGTGTAGTACAGCTGAATCTGAAGTTAAATGATGAGGATATAGAATTGTTCTAAAAAATCGACTAAGTATTTCTTTAGCATGTTTCAAAACACGTTAGACATTTTTTTTCAGTATATAACTACGACAAGTTATTAGGTACCTATCGGACAATGGTCCTGTTCAACACTTCGCCAATCGACAGCTGCTGAGCCTATAAATAGATGAAGAACTACTCACTTAGAGAATTTGGTATTATGTGAGATGGCATTATACTAATTTGCCTAAAAAATCATTTGTCAATACTAGCACGCACAAAAGTACATGGTACAGGCTCGTTTTCTGATACGTTGCCCTCAGATCTATTCCAGAACTAGATCCATTTTTGATCGGCTAGCACCGTGTGTTACGTTTTTTATATAATGCGGAACAGCCCCTGGTGATCGTAGTATAAGCATGAATTTCGAATTAAGTAAAGCCACGAGACTTGGTTGAGGCAGCCCAAACATGCTTTTAATTTAGGCCTCGATTAAAAAAATTCAATTCGGTAAGTCATCTTAGATGTTTGCATCTTCCATAGATTAGTAGTCATTGACGTTCCGAACAAATTAACAAACCGGTTTTTCGAACATCATCCCTAACACAGAGACCGGAGCAATTGCATTGCCTGGATGACGTTAAGGCGCCGCCTGCATTCAGTCGCACTTTCAACGGTAATTTACAAAGGTGTCCTTTCTTTCATATAGTCATTCGAAGCAAAACGTGCTCAGACTGTCACAGTGTCCATAAGCTCTTGAGCTAAAGCACATATCTCTATACAGGTGGGGTAGTTCGACAAATATTCTTTATGCGAAGATGAGAAACATACCTCAGGCGGTAGCAAGCAAACCGCATCACAAGCATTTTAGTTACCTCAATCAACTATTTCATTTTTAATTAATCAATTAATTTGTAACTACGAGAGAAATGAAAAACCTCAAAAAGATAACTTTTACGTAATAATCACCAGTAGGAGCACTGTTACTGCAATCTTTATAACCTAAGAGCTGCTAAGAACTTCGAATGTATCTAGCACGCTCGAGATAGTTTTCAGTAGTTAATTGTAACTCATCTGTAATCTACTGTACCAACACTTTCACATTCAAAGAGTTAGTCCTTTCCAGTAAATGAGCATTATATCCATAGCGATAATAGTATCTTCATACAAATAACAAAGTGTTTGGTACGTTCGTGATTTGACGAAATGAACATATTATTTTTGCTTGTTTTTACTGCTAATGTGATTATCTCACTTATAGCACGTTGACTAAGGGGAACTCACATTAGACGCTTCTGATTTGTTCTCGCGTAATGGTTCGCGTAAATAGTAAGTGAATCGGCGATTATTTTAGACAGACATCGCACTACTTTGAACTGCATTAATTATCGTTATAAATGAAAACACAGCCTGTTTCCCTTCCTATTCATTTTTCCGAGATTATATAAACCTATAGTGTTGCCAAAATGTCCGTTATTTCTTCCGTATCATTCTTTCATTGACGTTTATGCCCCCAATGTTCGGTAGAAATGCTTCGCGTCCTGCAGAATCACTACATACATATCGGAATTATTATCTAAAACTATTTTACTAGAAAAATTTCATAGTTCCTAGATATTTAATGACGTGTCGTAAATTGAGATTGGTGGCCGCCAGTTATGTAGCTTGCATGTGCTACTTTTAAAAGTGTCAACCTTTCGTCTTTCCGAAGATCTTACCAGACCCAAACTCTATTTGGGAAAGCGACAATGTTTAATAAAAATGCGATTATTACCGCTCTACCAAGCGAACCGAGATACTGGTGTCGTCTGTCAGTCGTTATCCGCAAGAGTCAAATTAAGAGTAAGGATACGATATCCTGTATCGTATCCAGGTTGAATTCACCATATTGGGTCGCTGGGTCCGCGAAGTCTGTATTTACTGATATCTTGTTATTTCACCTGTTATTATCGACGACATCATCTCCACAAATATCGCTGCGCTAATTTCCTCGATTCTAAACGAATCAGTAGGCCCCAGACTGACTATCTCTCTTTATTATTTCAACATGAACTGCGCATAGCCAAATATACAAGCAAACCACACATATAACAATAATAGTTATATTAATACGAAGAATTACAACTGAGTAGCTAAATTGCGCAAGTATTGTATGGCCACCTGATAAAGCGACAGGAGTCGTTCCGTCACCAGTGATTTCTGTTGCTGTATTTGCCAGCACTGTGGGTTCGAACGGAGGTTGCCCTAGACAGACAGACCCATTTCCGTTTCTGGTCGTGGGCCACTGAGAACTCTGCCTCCAGTCCGTGAGTCGTTGCAACGTTTTCAGCATTTTCTGAATGTGCCAGGCTTACGAGTGTGTGCTATTCAAACAATGAATATAGCAGCGTACGTGAACATATGGATACTCGTACGTGGAATATTAGCGTTATAAATAATTCTCGTTGTGCCATTAGTTGATTAACTGAACTGATGCCGATCACTTAACGAAGCCCAACGCAGGCAAAAGCATTTTTGTTAGCAGTGTGAAAAATCGGGTTTAGACATTTTTGTTTTATTTATCAATCATTGGTCAAACTGTAACCTAAACGCTTGTTCAAAGTTGAGCCATATATTCAAAGTATCATACGTGAATCTAAAGCACTAACTGACAACGAGATACTGCACTAACAGGTGCAATTATGATTCCGATCGAGCCAGCCGATAGTTTCTAAGATACCGGGTTTTCACCAACGTGATTGGCGGGTTTTCACTTCATTGTTCGTTGGCGAATACTGTTGTCATGTAATGCGTAGACTCTGTTCATGTATGTTTGCCGGTCGCTGCCCAAAAAAGACAGACTGAGTTTAAGAACTATGCTCACGTAGATTCATCTATAAGTAATTGTAGTTTTTTTTTTTTAAAACAACTAAAGGTATTACCTATACGAATTGTCGAATAACAAGAATTCTTAGAGCCCACAGCGTGCCAAACAGAGCTAGGATTAATTGAACAATGCTTCAGTTGTATTATTGCTTAATAAAGCAGGCTTGTCTTGCTACCTCTATATGGATATTTCATTTACCAAATTTTTGCTGTGATTCTCTAAGTTACAAAGATCACTTCGAAACAGCTCAGGATGCCACATATGTAATCGAAATGCCACTCGGATGATATCAGTGGCGAGCTGTTAACGACCTGCAACACGTGCATGACGCTTATCTACGTCTGCCTACACGTGCACGTTCGCATATATGATAATAAAGATGCCCTTTATCGTGCTGTCGTCAGTAGGTCGATTTAAAAAAGAAGGCCACTTTACTCTGTGAAGTTAGAACCAAATGCTTCTCATGGTGATTCATGGAAAAATTACCACTTCATAAGACTCACCACCAAAAAAGGTCAAGCCTTTCTAACACAACGTTATACGACGATTGCATATACTGCCCGTTGTTATCAAGGTAAAATATCACCAGGATCAATTGTGTTGAGAGAAGTGATTCGTTAACCCATCGCCGTTCATCGAAGTGTGGACGACTCTACGTTTCAAGGTTTGATCAACCCTACAACAACTATACCAAGCACATCTTGAGGACGCGGTCAACTGGATGCTATCAGTGAGCTAAATGTAAGTTACCTAACCTCAGAACAAACAAACATGGCGATTAACAATAATGGATCTAGCGTAAAGGGAGATGAGGAGTCGAAGGCAGGGATGGGTCAATGGTCCGACGCACAAATTAATGCCATTGTTAGGAAAAGAGGCACCGAGCAGGCCAGGTTCACATTAATAAAAATAAAGTTGTTGCTTTATTGGCAGAAATACTATTAAGAAAAGTACGTTTTGTTGTTGTTGTTCTTGCGATTGCAAGCAATCGACGAAAATTTCGGAGAGGTATGTTGCTTATACCGCTGTCAGAATGAAAGTCTGGAAAACGATTGAAAGAGATTCATAGAAGAAAAGCCGTGTATGTAAACAACGATATCGACGTGATCATTATGTAAAAAAGATTGTATTAAAGTGCTGTCAGAATGTAGTGGAAACGAAAACAAGAACTCGGCATCACAGTTGAATGCAATAGTAACCTCAAGCACGAAATAAGTTTGGTAGCCATGTAAAAAAGGTTGGTTTTAACTATTCAGCGTATTCGTATATTAGAAAACAAAGAAAAATTTCAAAAGTTGAAAACGCTTTAGTATGCCCTGCAAGTCATGTCACTCTTTGTCTTAGTTTCGCAGTTAGTCGTGCATTAAATCTAACCAAAAAAGATAATAACAATAACGAACACGAGCTGGGTATATAAGCCGGATACACAAGGCCTCGTTTATGAAAGATTAACCTGTGCCGGATAAACTGGAGCAGTTTGTGTTAATTAATCAAATTATCAATGCTCTGGTCGCTTAAAGAAAAATACCGGCCCATTACTAATGACCAATGCACTAATGATGGTTGAATGTTGTTTATAATGTAATTTAGAGACGAACAATTTCACAAAAAAGAATCACCAGGAAAAATGAGGATGACGCGCATATACTAAACCACTAACCGCAAAGTAGAGCGGTTTCTCTGATCTCCTGAACTCGAGGTGAGAAAACTAGAAATTTTATCATTTGTTTATTTCATTTGTTATTTGTTAAAATAATAATAATAAACATTGTAAATTTGTCGTCATTTGTTAAAAGTATCCATTTGACACAACATAAGTATAATCAGCACAAACATATTAAGCATATTCATTACAAGGTTGATCACCACAGAGGTAACCAACTAACAGAAAAAGGGCTCAAACAAAAGAATTCATTCCTTACAACCTCGAAGACGTATCGTACATCCTGAGGAAAGAACCATTCAACTTGCTAATACCCAAAAACCATTCCATGCTTGAAAATTCTTTTGGTAGAAGGAGAGGGAGATTCCTTATTTCCAATGCGTTCTCAGCGCAACCACCAAACGAAGAAGTGTCAGAACCATCACGTTAGATACAAATGTTCTGAGGCTAACCACTATACAGTTGTGTGTTCAAAATCTGAAGGGAATAGGGAGCTTGAACCCAGCACAACAATTTGTGCCTGAACAGGTGAGTCTCAAACCTGAAATACGAAAACCCGTTTACTCACTGATTATAGCTTGGCTTTTACCAAGTTTAGAGAAAATTTCATATCGCACCATCCTAGACAATTATGCCCTTCAACGTCTTGGCAGACCTGACTAAGCGGTAAGATTTTAAATCTGTACAAGTAAAACCACTGTTCACTTTTTATTCACTCGGGTTGGCGATAACAATGGCTTGAAAATGATTTATTTGGAAATATTATTGAATTGAAATATTATTTATTATGAAAGATAAACTGCAAAGCGAGAAGTACTGAGCTAGGCAAAACGAACTCGTCCATTTGCTCAATGGGATTTTGCTGAGACAAAAAAGCATATCTGTGGTTCGTTTAGCCCTTAACGAAAAAATTAGCTCTTTTGAAGACAATAAATAAGTCGCTAGGTCAAGGCTACTGAGTTTTTGTGTTTTGCAACAAAAAGTACACTTTTTAAAATCAACGAATAATGAAATTAAACCCTACGCGTCGAAAAGAGCTAAACAGAGAAGGCCTAACTGAAGTGGAAGTGTGAAAAGGTGCATTATTTATCTCAGTCGTTGCTAAAAAAAGACTAGAGAACCGAGGAGAAACAGCGACGTGCGTCGGAGCCAAACGAACAAACAGAGCATTATTAATTAATTTAACTACATTTCAGTAAACATAGCCTTTCTGTATTTTGGAGAACTTTGCAGTACTGATTCATGGTTTAGGCTTCGAATTTATCTACAGCCCGTAGATTCATTGCCAGAGATAAAAATATCATCTAGAAAATTAATCACTGAAATTGGCTAGTGATGCAAAACTTGTCAAATAGGTTAGCGAACTGTTGTACGTAGATTATGCTCCTACAAATGCACTATTAATATCCTAGCGATAACGCAGATTTTATCTGTTGAATGCATATCGAACTCTGGACGTTTTGTTTGGGCAACTAATTGAAGACGAATGTTGTCATAAAGGATATGTGTGTATCTAAACCATATTTGTGTGTTGTCAATCAATATTTTTTTTCAATATATGACAAATATTCAGAATGAGCCGCCATACTTCCTGTTTAATACATGCCGAGATAACGTTATAATAAATATCTAAGGGTTACGTATCACGCATAATTACGTATTTAACATGATTATCCTCTTAGAGTACATAGGGCTAGTATAAGACAATCAATCACTTATTAGCTACTATATGTACAACGTTTCAACAAGACAGCGGTCCTTTGGCAGCTGAACTCAGTTCAACTGCTGCTGTCGCGATGTATCAGCAAAGATTTCTTTTTATCGGAGAAGGGGCTCCACGCCATATCATTGTTCTTGTAGTCGGTGATTTAAAATTTAAGGACAAAAAGGGCACACGAAGTATACAGCAACATCGTATTTTATCTATCCCTGGCAATCCAAAGATCCGTTCGGAAAAACACTCGAAAGATATCAATCATATGCGTAATGACCACTACAGCCTAAATTAAAAATAGGAGTCGAACTGCAGGCGATGAACTAAAATATTGCGGCTGAATAATTAATATTTTAATAAACAATATCTTAGCACTGGAGTGAACGAGTTTTCAGCTCGTTTGGAGCAGGCGACCTCAAAGAACCGACTCTTCGTTCGAAACGGTTGAGAATTATTATTTATAAAATCCTTTAATTGTCGAGAACCGGAGAATTTCAAAACGAATTTCTGTGAGTTATTGATGGAGGCTACCTTCTTCACATTATCTAGGGTCTATCTTATCAAACGCCGCTTCCACGCTAGTTTTTGCGTCGTCGCCTAGAGGAGTCGAACAACGAAAAAAAAGCAGCAATAGCGTCAATAATTTTGTTTACACTTGAACACCTTATGACCAGTGTAACGGAAATAATGACGCATATATTTCTGCTCAAAACACATAAGTGGGATATCTGTAATTTCCTTCTTTTTTTTCGATAGATACGTCGATATTTGCACTGAACCGGCGCGCATCTCTGGCACTCGAGTGGTAAAGCTTTTGAACTATAAAAGATCGTAGATACTTCTTTCAAGTAAAAGAGCAGACTAAACAAATCACGCACAACCTCATCTTCGTTTACAATAGCAGAGTGACGCTTAAGTTGATTGTTTTTGATAAGAGCGATACAGCTGTGCCAGTGAAGAGCGCACAAATTGCATGTGCTTACTGAATAATATGTATAGAGCAAATATATATATATATATATTTAACAAAGTAATCAACGACTGACAACTACTCATATAGCAAAAAATAAAATGATATATGGAATCGAAGCGCTGATCTTTCAAGCTTTAGGATTCAAATTATTTTAAGAAGTTTGCGTAAAACTAGATCCCTGAAAGATCTGCTTTAAAATTCGCTTTGATGGTGACTCAAATGGATATTCAGTCTGTGTAATAAGCGTATCCCCGCTTCATGTATTTTGCTGATCTGCAATAAGTGTTGATATTAATAGCTTAAAAAAACCCGATCGGCAAAGTGAGGTATTACTCCGCCATGGCACCGGTTCGTTTTAAAAACGGGTAAACCGTTGGATGTGTTAACCTTCTTTTTCAGGAAATTCTGGAATAATTACCGAGGTAGGTTTGCCATGATTAGATGATCGAGGCATTTAGGTTGACACATTTGAGATCTACGTTAATGACTAGATAAGAGCGTTTCACAGAGATATTTTCGGGATTACTTAGAAGTTATGACTTGAATTCAATCGGCTTAGTAGTTAATGAGCAAAGTATCTACAGAAACGAAGATTAGAAGGTATCACGTTAGCATCTGCGTGTGCAAATGAGTTGCGCATAGTTCATGAGCTTCATTGTGCTGAATGAACGTTTAATTCGGTTGTCGCTATCTCTCGATCATACTGTGATAGCAACGGCCTTTTGGCGCGAAGTTCTCATAAGACAACTGCTTTAGGTATTTGCTTAAAAGCCTAGTTAGAGGTTACTTGAAACTAGTCGGTGTGATAAATATCGACAGAGTTGGAAATTGCCGTTCGAAATAAATATATAAAAGTTATATATATAGATGGCAAATAAGTGCACAAAGGCTTCGCTAGGGGTGCTTAGGTATATCCGAAGTCTGCATAGTATTCATTACTTTGTCTGATATCCGTTCGTATTTTATAACTTAACATTTCAGCCACTGTGCGATTTTGTTGACTCGTGACAGCTTACTGTTATTTTGTTAAACACTTGTCAAAGAATTGTAAGTTTGGTTAACTGATTCGTACCACAAATGTAAGCATCAACGTCAATATTGGTTTAAATGCAAGATCATTTTTGATGTTTCAGCAAAATGTTGTTCGGTAATTTACAAATAATAAAGCGCGACGGGTCTGATGGATCCCACTTTCCCATTACATCGGATACAGTCTTTGGCTCGTAAGTAATATTAATTTTATTCTACAGTCACAAGTTCGTTAAATTGTAAAATAAGCCATAATAAAGCCTTTTGACATTTTCCAACGTATAAGGAAACTGTTCTGTATAAGTTAAATGGTACATTTATGCATACGTCTCCCGACTACTACATTTACCAAGTGTACGGAAGTGTAAGTCCTACTATGTAGATTAACATTTCTTCATCTTGCATCCTTATTAAGGGACCCGTCTGCAGATGTGAAGCTTAAAGTCGCAGGGGTTGCGAAACGGCAATGTCGTATAATTCCGTGTGTTCAGACAAAGAAAATGCAGCTCGAAGTATTAGATGACCGTTGCGGGGAAACTCATATCAACGGCGCGAAGTTGTCGGCAGGCGAAGTACGAGACCTGTATAATGCTGACATTCTCACCGTCACGGATCGGAAGTTTAAAATTTTCTATCCATTGCCCTCGGCTAAGCGCCAGGTGAAACTTTTTTCAAGGATTTTAAAGTACCATCATTGCAGTTCTTTTGTTTAAAATGACCACCAAATAATGTTACCTTCGCTACCGGCCGAGCACTTCCAATAAGTAATTTCATTAGATCCTCCGATATCCTTTAATCTTTGTCGCTATGATGATATAAGCACGCATTGTTAGATGCTCTCTTTATGGGGAATATGAATATAGCAGAGTCAGTCCTACACATCTTGTGATATATATATATTGAAGATATACATATTGTTTTGCTTTAACTCAAATTGTTGTAAGTTACCTAAGTATTTCCCGGTTTAAATTGGAGACTAATGCATTTCTGTATCTCAAGGTCCTAGCAGCGATCAAGGCGTGCGCTGATTTGTGCTTAATTTGGCTGACTTTGAAGATATAGGATCACCAGATTAAAATTAATGAATTACTTCGCCGGCTATCAATCACGTTAGATACCTTCCAAAAGTAGGGGATGAAAATTTTTCGTGGCTTTGGTGTGTTTGTTCAAAGTGGTTGATCCCTCTATTGGCACAAAAAAAACGGTCAGCAGCCGGCGAACATATTGAAAATGCACTTGTCGTAGACGCTGCAGATACATTAGGTGCAGTTCTTGCGCTATTATATCCTAATGTGCATGTGGTATACGCGTAAGTTATCTGTTAACGAACTGATGGCTTCGACGATAGATGCAAAATATGACAGATAGAGAGACAGAAAACAGACGAGAGAGGACAGGGCACAATCGGAAAGATGAGAAAGATAAAGGGATAATTCTTTACTATTACGCATACTGGTAAACAATTTTTCCAGGTAAAATAAGCCATAACATTCGTCGTTGTAATACGAAGCAATGTGCCATTGCTTCTGTGTTACGGTATGGTATCAACCCATAGCTTTATCTAGATTTTGCACGAAACTGTTAGTATCACTCAGTAAAGCTCAATCATTGGCCCCCTATGCCTCGTCTACCTGAGTTTTTACAGTATTGACGCTCCTTCATTCAGTCGATTACTTTTTACACCACTTTTCCTTCTTTCCTGGTTGAAAAAAGACATTGCGATATAACTCACAAGCTCTCAAGGCACAGCCAACATTTCGCTCACGAGAATTCGAAGTGTCTGCACGACTTTTCAATCAACTCGTCTGCGCCGACATGGAAAGCGTGCGCGTTCCTTATCAACGTCGCCTAATACGTCGAGCCACATTTGCACGTGACATAGTATGTGCACTGATAGTAGCGTTTAAGTTCTAGCGGAAAAAGGCTCATTTCAGCGAGAGACGATCTCTCTATCATTTTTTATAGTCGAAAGCAAAGGTACTGAGAACCAACTGATCTTTGGTTATTTATTCAAGGCAAACCTTACATTCATAATCGTACTTACAGCTAGTATTATTTATACAAAGTCAACAGTAAATTTATCGATAAAGATTGGAGAAACTGAATTTGCTAGTTCGAGTTTTCAGTTTGAACGGTTGAAATATTAAGAAATGTCTGCAATCGACTACTTTACGAGTCTATTTTAGGTAGCTTAGTGTCCACTTCAATTCATAACAATTAAGTTATTCTAGGTAGATCATTTTTGGTGCTCAAATTTGAATAGAAAAGCTAGATAGTCTGTTCTCCAAATGAAGTTCGCTATTTGGCCATAATGGATTGCGGTTATAATCTAAAATTGCAACCTAAGATTTTTAACAGCTCTTTTTATTATGCTTTAATCAAATAGGTGTCGAAAACACCGGGCAGTGTTACGAAGTTAAAACGACGGTCCATCTTTAATCGAACGCCACCAAACTTTGATGCACCCGGCAGCCAAAGACAACAACAGCAACGACAACAAGTAAGTGTTCTTTCCAACCAAAAATATTACGACGTTATGATTTTCAAACTGGAAATATGCCTAACATGATACCTAACATGACAGTCTTTCGGAACCTTGTTATTTATATAAACACAGTGATTAAAATCAATTTTTGAAATAAGATTTTTTAATAGTTGATCAAAAGATCGCTCAAGAAGTACGGGTCCCTTGAATTATTAGTTCGAATGAATCAATGAATAAAGGTACTGGTTTAATTGGCAGTAATCATTTAGAGCCGCTTCGCTTTTACAAAAATTGTTTTTAGAACGAACTGAAGGAAGCAGTTCGCCATACCCCGTCAGGGGAGGTGCGTCGAAGATCCCAGTCATTAAGCCCAAAGCCCCGAAAGAGCATCCTTAGTGCAAAGAAGAATCTGCTGGTAGCCAGGACCCCGACAATGTCACCAAAGGTCGTTACTTGGGGGAACAACAGGTTCGTTATTAACGTTTTATTAGGCAAAAACAAGTGTATAAAAGCAAGACGTCTCCGGCTATGATTAGAATTCTCCAATTCAGCGTTAAATGTTTTTCTCAGCATGCTAAAAACGGCTACTATTGTTGTATTCAGACACAGTTACTTTTCACATGTATCTATTACAGATACAAATCCCCTGACAGATCGCCAAGCCCAAAAAAAATTGTAAGGATACCGCGACATACAATTGGCGCGACTTCGGCACTAGCGGCTGCCGTAAATGAGAAGAAACGAAACATTGGTCATTTGGACGAGAAGATCAAACGTCTGGCGTCTTCCTCTGCACCTTCAAACAACATGACATCGACTGGGCCTTTATTAACCCCAATAAGTCGTAGCAGCATTCTGGAAAGTAGCACCCCTATTAACAGTAGCGTTCTGCCCGTGAAGGTGACGGAAACGCCGCTTGCATCAAAGTCACCAGTCACTGAGACAGCTAGATTGACGCCCGTATTTTCGAACGTAAAAGTCAAAGAAACACCAAAATTATTAACCACTTTGGCTACGGCACCGATGCCCGTAGCAACCAAATCGCCTGCAATGCCCACATCGAAAATGACTGTAGTTGTTGCTGGGCCGCCGGCGGCGCAGATAAAATCACCCGCAAACCCGACGAAGTCACCTGTCGTAGCCTCGAAGCCACTAATGAGCCCACTAGGAGAAGATCAATCCATTGCATCTGCAGGTCTCAATCGAAAAACGCGTTCAAGTCAAAGTTTTTCTTTTGGCGACGAGCACATGTCAACAGCGAGCGCGTTTCTAGACGAAAATCTATCAATGATCACCCAGCCATCCGACTCTTTTGGCAGCCTGAGTGTATCTGACGTAGATCTGTCACTTTTTACTGGTAGTGTGGCAAACGATAGCACCATAAATTCCCCGTTACGAAGCCGTAGAAGCTCCTCGGGTTCTTCACTTCAGAACTCATCAGCGTCAGGTAGAGCGTTAAAGGGTACTATTCGATCACCAAAGACGCCAGTACTAAGCAAGGTGCAGAAAAACGAAGAGGCTGAGGTAATTTCGGCACAGCGGACTCCGCAGAGCCAGCATTCTGTTGTAAAAGAAAAGCTTATGACTCCGCTAGCGACTGGCGATGAAAAGGCAGGTTTAGCAACGGACGAAATTTCAGCTGAGTCAGAAAGCAATATCATAGACGTAGCTGATATTAAGCAGGTGGAGGGGGTTTCAAACAGCCTTGGAACTAAACAAGAAAGTATTAAACCCGCTGAAAAAACTTGGGCAGGTATACTCAAGAAAAACATTTCTTCTGGAAGTCATTTTAAAGTTAAACCAAGAAAAAGTCATAAGATTAAAGCAGTAGGCCGATCCAAGTTTTTGCAGAATAAAACTTCGAAAAGTGATCTGGCGGTGGAGATCGTCGCAGCTGCCTCCACTGGACATCTGTTGTCACCACAAACTATTTTTGTGAATAAAAAATTGATGAAATTTGCATCGAGGACCTTCGTTACACCACTTTCTAAATCACGTAAATTTTCTTTTGGTAGCATGACGCCTGATATAGAGACGGATATGTTTGTGTCACCCTTGAAGACCCCTGACAACTCTGAGGCAATTTCTCGTGCGTCTGCTTTTGTAGCTAACGCGGACGAATCAGCGGATTTAGAGCCTCACTATTCAAATGTGTCAAGTCTCAACGAACCGGTAGCATCTCCGGTGCGTAGCCCTAGAAATTCGGTTGCAAATGAAAACAGTTTTGTACACTCGAACGAAGCAGATGGCAAAATAAATGTGCAGAATGTCACTAGCGTGGGAAGTAAGTTAGGAACATCGAAGAAGAGAATAAGGCCGCTAGCAACTAGTCAGAAAAATTCCCCGCTTAATAGTCTAGAAGATGTACGTGGTATCAAACGGCTGATGACAGCTACTTCTCCATTAAATGTTCTTGATGATTTCGATGGCGTCAAGCAGCTTCTTCAAACCCCAAAAGTGAGGAAGCAACTTGAGGATTCTTTAGATAACGTCGAAAACGTGATGCAGCTTTTTGCTACTCTTAAGGAGACTCAGTCAGGAAGAAATTCATTTTCAGACGTTATGGACGTCAAGAATATTGTAGCATCTTCAACTGAATCAAAAACACCTGAAAGTAACTTGGACCATACGTTTAATGGTGTGCGGGTTATGGTAGCTACCCAGACAGAAACGCGGGGTTTAAGGAGTAACCTCGATATAACTTCAGAGAACGTAAAAAATTTGCTCAATACTCGAACCCACGCTCAGAGCCCCAAAAATAATCTGGACATAAGTTTTGGAGGCGTGAAGGAACTGGTAACTACTCCAGCAAAAAGTCCCGAGAACAATCTTGACATAACTTTCAGAGGATTAAAAAAAATGGTTACTACCCCGACCGAAGCAAGGAGTCCTAAAAATAATCTTGACATTACATTCAGAGGGGTTAAGAAACTGTTAAATACGCCACCAGAAATTAGGAGTCCAATTAATAATCTAGACCGCAGCTTTAAAGGATTACGGAGAATGCTCGCAACTCCTCAAAAAGATGATGTAGCACCGAACGACTCTGTCTTGGGGGATATAGCCGATTTAATGCGTTCACCAGTCGTCTCCCCTCGAAAAAGAACCCCGGGATCTCCTGCTGCGTCAGAGGCTAAACGAAGGCGGAGCAAAGAAGCGGCAAAAACGGCTGCTCCGTTGAGAGATAATGAACACGTCATTTCCATTAAGGATATTCTAACAGGAAAGAGTTCAGATTCCGCGATTTGCTCTGGCGAAAAGTTTCCTGCTTCATGCCACAGTTATTTGGAACTGTCAGATGAAAAGGACGAAGTTGATGTTGAAAATACAGAAAGTTTGATAGTTAAGCCTCATCGTGATCCTGAAACAGTTCTGCAGAAAGCTACAAAGTCGAAACAGCCCGAGGATATTAAGGGTAACATGCAGAATGTAATAAGAAAGCGAATCGAAAGCCATAGCGAAAACGAAAGAAATCAAAGCAATACCGAGAAAGAACCCACAGAACGTGAAAAAGTGCCCGAGCCTGAATCAGTAACAAGAGCAAGGAGTCGCCGCGGTAAAAGAGCTGAATTCCAGGAGGTTGCTCCGCAGGCAATACAACCTAAGGGCAAACGAGGTAAAAAGGGTGAGTCTAAAGATAAGCAAGACTTGGCAAGTATTGAGGGCCAAAAGGACGACGAGGAATTCGAACGATTTGCAAGTAACCAGAGTGGTGAGGATACTGAGAATAATGAGAGCACAAAATTCCGTGTGGATACTCGAAGTGGGCGATTCCACAAGGGACAAGAGTCGGAGTCACAGGTGGAGTTTGCAAGAAAGCAAAACAAACGTAACGAATGTTACGCAGCTTCCACAAGGGGACACCGTGGTCAAGTCAAAGACATCGAGAAAGGACCCACCATGTCCGACGAACCGGTAGCTGCATCTGAACTTGCAAAACTAAATATACGTAAAAATGAGTCAAAACAAGATGCCTCAAAGAGCCGTAAGATTAAGTCGAAGATAACGCATGACGAAAATTTAGAGAGCTCCGAAACCAGTGATAACCAGGTTGAACAAGGACGTAACACAAGAGCTAAAGCTGCTAAAAAGGACTCTCTAGTTAAAACGACTGAGCAGGCCAAAGGCCAGAACATTATAGAACGCCGTGGGAGGCGGGCTGCAGCTGGTAAGAAGGAACAGGATCAGTCTGAGGAGGTTAGCGAAGCGGTCAGTAGTAATACAGGTGAGCCGGACTCTATCGTTACTCAGGATGACACAATAAAAACACTGACAAGAAGACAAGGCACGAAAGCCGTCGATTCGACGCCCATTGCACTGAAAAGTGAAGACAAACCTAAACGTGGTCGAGGTCGCGCAAAAAACATCCAAATTGAAACTTTACCCGAGACAGTAGGCCTAAAGAGATCAGAAAAAAAAACTAAGACACTGAAAAACGGAAGCCATAAGGGTGTTGGAAAGGAATCTGAGCCGGAGGAAGAACACGCGTTAGTCTCTCCTAAAACACCGCGCAGGGGACGCGGCAAAAAAGTTTATATGCTGGTAAACTCTGTAGAAGACACTCCTGCGACGACGACAACGGCAGAACCTGAAGGCCCTAAGAAGTCTCGGGCTCGAGGTACAAGGGCAGAACCGACGGAGGCAAACGGTTCAAAGAAGAAAAGCTCAAAGGCTGGGGCAAAACGTCCGCTTGAAGAAGAATTGAACATTAAGGAAGCAGCGCCAAAACGTCGTGCGCTCAAAAATGCCAGCGATGATAAGGTAAGTTTAACTATGATTGAATACTTTCGGACAAAAACATAACGGCACACGTCCTGTAAATGCTAAAAATCCGTTCCGTGCTTTTTAGGATAAACTTCCGGCCTCTACACGAGTAACACGAACTCGTCGACCATAACTACCAGAAGCAAAACCAGCCTTATGAACAGTTGGCGTGTTCGTTGCAAGGAAAGCAACGAATCATTTCACGTATGCCCATTGTATATTTATTATTTTATTATGTAACAAGTAACTTATGATGTATTCACTCCTCTCTCAAAGTAAATTGTAGTTTGTTGATAAATGGTGTTTTCTTTGTCATTCGCAATTTAATGGTTTTGCTAAACCATAAAAGACCATGTAACGTCAACTTAACACATTATGGAAGCTTGCGAACGAAATTGCTAGTTAAGTTAGCTTATACAAAACATGTGCCTATATGCCACAATGATCTTAGTCTTTTGGTTAGTTGGGGTACAGGGTAACGTTAGTAGCAATGGCGGTATCGTTCTAGGTGGTCATGGCGGCACACCACATGGCGGCTATGAAACTTGCGTGAATAGTATACTAAATCCGTATTAATTATAAAAACCGCACCTTTGCGTTTTAATAGCCAAACATTTATTACGTTTCTTTCGACGACAAAGGTAAAGAAGTAGAAGTTATGCACGATAGCCGACGTCTCTACTAAATCACCTACCTAAAATTCAGCGTAAGGTAAAGCGCGGCCACATACTAAACTTAGGTACACTTAATTTGCGTGGTCTAGGTTCAAACGTAGATATTTCATTTCGTGCTCCTAAAGTACAGCGGCAATTGGAGTGACGACTCAAAACAGTTTTTTTTAGATGTCCGCACAAGCTATTTCAACCAACGCGAAGTTGCATCCATTTTCTGCTTATAATTGAGCTAGACTCTAGCTAAACTATAACTATATAAAACTGTACTTCAAAAGTAGTAGAGTTCATAGTACTTTTCGCAGTAATGGAATACGCGGACCATAGACCTGTGTAATCTTTTATTGGATGTGCAGTCATGCAACGACATCGATGACGTGAACTTAGCACAGCACTCATGACACCTTCCAAGTTCAACATTACCGTAAATAATATACTGTAGGTCCATTGTTTGCTTGTAAATCCGCATGCTATCCACACAACAGCTTTCGAGAAAAAAAATGTCTGGAAAGACAAATTGCACACCTATTGAATTGAAATCCAATTGACCCGTTTTGTATTTTTACCTAATCCATTAAGGAACTTTTGTTTGAAGGAAGATTAGCACTCGTTGCACCTCATCTTTATAAACATAAGGATATCGTTATCCTTACGTCACTGATGCATACACATGATTTCACGTAGTTTAACATATACTGACATGTGAGGTGCATATATATATATATATATATATATATATATATATACTGACATGTGAGGTGCATATATATATATATATATATATATATATATATATATATATATATTTGTGTTTATAACCATTCGTCAAGTTTGAAAAGATAAATGAGAAATACAGAATGTCTCATTTATCTTTTCAAACTTGACGAATGATTATAAACACAAATAAGGTCAGTACTATTGTATGCTTTAATAACACTGTATTTAACGATGACGTTTTTATCCAATATATTAGGGGCAACTTCTCCAGCCAGAACACTGATATCAATACTTGGTTGTTCTTTTACGTTTATTAAGAAAATTTTAACGAAAGTGACATTGCAATTCTATCGTGCAGTTATTATTTTTAACAAAAGAGGAATGCGGGGTAAATTTTCAAATATAGCATCCATTATAAGACGCTTCTTCAAGAAGACTGATCTACCGACTGATATACTTGTCCACTAAATTGTTCAATGTAAAAATGTACAACATTGTTCGAATTTGTCTGAAATGTACATTTCCTCTTCCATTACAAACACTACGTAGTACTGTTGACGTTAGCGTTGTATCAGAACTTTTACTGTTATTAGTGCGACGAGCGTGCACACGATTACAACGGGTATAATCATCTGGACCGATACGGTAGGAATCCTCTCTGCTGGTCTGATCATTATAATCACATCTGCCTTCATGAAGTGTTTACCTGTTTCTACGACTTTCACCCTCAAATTAGCTCCCATATACTCATCTCTAGCCGGAACAAGTATCTGCTCATAGAATTTATTGTGTCCGACGAAATGCTTCTTATCTGCAGCAATCTCTGTTACAAGTACATCGTACTCTCGTCCCACTCTGTTTTCATATGGCAATACGGTATCAAACAGCTGGGTCAACCTTCGCGTACGGTTCTTCACAATATCCGTTGGAATCCTTTTCATGCGTGCAGCGGGTGTACCGGGCCGAGGGTAGAACTGATTAATGTACAGCGTTGGAAAACCGTACTTTGCGCAAAGCGACATTGTCTCATCGAAATCTTGTTCTGTCTCTGTGGGAAAGCCACATATGATATCAGTAGCGATGGTAATGCCTGGCACATGCTTGCGAAGGTAGTCCACTAACTGTAAACGCAGACACCGAAAGTGCTAAATGTTACGGCACAAAGCTACAGCGGTGCCATTGATCGACTATGGGTTCCGTTTGGAAAAAGTATTATTAATTGGGTAACGTGTTGTTATCATTGCTGCGTAGAGCAGACCAACTTACACATGTACTATGAAGCAACTATTAAAATATCGGTAGACGACAATCTTCACGTCCTTCCCATTACCGTATGCAAAAAATAAAAATAAATAGGAGCAAGAACTGCAGTGCAAGAACTGGAGAAAAATCGTCTTGTAAATTATTTCTAGATCATATCATGACAATAATTAGTTGCAATATATAATATACTGCACACACAATACCTCGGCAGAAAATACCTTTTGGGGATATTCTAACCTGACAGAATTGAACTCTTGTGTATTCTCGACGCATTTCCTTGAGCACCGGATCGCTACCGCTTTGTACGGGTACATGAAGGAACGAATATACTCGAGGATGGAGCAGGATCTCCGCGATCTCTTCGAGGTGATCCATAATATATGGTGGATTCGTCATTCCTAAGCGAAGCCGGCAGCCTTCAGGGATTTCCTTGATAACCTGACGCAGAAGATCTGGAAGAGTTACGCCGATATCTCGTCCATATGCTCCTAAGAGTCAAATTGATGAAGCTTGGATTAAGTACACAAAAAATATTCCATTAAGTATGCAAAGATACATTTCACTACAACAACAACACTAGTGACTAAGAATTTTTGCTGTAAACAAGTTGTCGAATTTGTAGTATTACAAGCTACAAAGAACAATTTAAGGCTATGGCGTGCCCCATAAATAGCCCGTGGTAAGAAGACTACTCGGGCAAGGTTAACTATCTTTAGTAAGAACTATGTGCAACAATATATGCAGCGTTGTTCAGTCAGGTAAAGCGTAAGTTGTGGCCGTAAGTCGTGAAACTATATCTGATGCTTTGGGTTTTTGATTCCATCCGATTTAATCTCTCACCTGTGTCCTCACTGGTCATCCAGATTTCCTTAACGCCTTCCCGAAAACTTTGTCGGCAGCGTTCCACAATTTCTTCTATTGGATAGCTGCCCAAATTACCGCGAGCCATTTTGGTCTTGCAATACGTGCAATGATTTAGACACCCAGTATTTATAGCGAGTATTTCGACGAAAGGGTTACGACGAATTTTCGGTAGATCCAAATAGGATCCGCCAAGCTTGCGACCCTTAATCTAATTATAACAGCAAACATATTCTATGAAGTTATTAAGTGGTAGGCCCTTACTTATAGTAAACCTTACCTAGAGCAGGGATGCGCACATTTTAATAACGAATGATTTATCTAACTTTTAAGGATAATGGCTAGAATCTATGGCTGCAACTGGCGCAGTATAAAGCTCTAGGTAAAACAGTAAATAGTATAAAGAAACGTAAGATAAGGGATATCTATGAAAACATATACAGATTGGCCTTCACATTCTCCCCAAGCAGACGTGACATAAACTTACAGATTTTGTCCCGAGAAGCCTGACGGAATTTCCCTTGAGAGTTTCCTCCACCACCTCTACTACCCGGTCCGTCTGATGTACCCCAATGACGCTTAAACCAGATAGAAACTCGGCTTTCGGATCTGCTTGAGAGACACAACCTGTTGAAAACATAGCTTCAATTATATCACGAGTAACTAGCGGTTCCGATCGTAACCTGATCAAGCAAGGGAAGTTAATAAGGATTGGCAAACCTCACATTACTTTCATATCCTACAATATAAATATATAAGCAGGCTCAATATTTTAAAACAGGTTTCGTAGAATGTTCACATAACTCTAATAAAGTAGGAAAAACTTAGTAATAGTTTTTATATATGAAGCGCGTATCACAAGCGACCTGCCACGACCACTTTTCTGCCTTCTTCCAACGCCTTGTTGATGGTGTTTTTTAAGTGCTCCTCTGAAGGACTTTTTACAGTGCAACTATTGAGTAACCAGAGCTGTGCTTCAAACTTGTCGTTGACAAGGGGATATCCGGCCGCGGTCAGCATCCCTGCCATATACTCCGAGTCGGAAGAATTGTGGGAGCAGCCCCACGTTTTCACCCATATCTTTTGATGACCTATAATCACGGACCAATACAGGAAAAGTAATAACAATTATTATATGCTATTATTATTTTACTGCAACTATATTTTTCGTTATATATATAACGAAGTAACAAGTATATATACGTGTGTGTACGTAGAAGAAGTACAATCTCAGCCGAGCCATTTGAGCGACCCGATTAACTCGATTGATTTAATGGGACAATTAAGTCATAAACATCAGCAGGTTGAATGTCTAGAGCATTTTATAACGTTGTAAATGGAGTAGTTACATTCCAGCAATGATACATATTATCAGTCATGCAAAAGGTAAGCAAAAAGTATTTGAGAAAACACGATAACAATATTTCCAACAAATCATAAACAAATAACTTCCTGATAAAGTTATTTGAAGCTACATTTGAATAGCATAATTCATAAACACAATCGCATTTATTGGGCAACTGTAAATTTGCATGTTTTGTAACTACACCATTTAAATTTACCAGGAGTTCACGTGGTCCATCATTCTAACAGTAACTAATGGCAATTTACCACTAATCTACGTTGGTACGCATTCGGAATAACTTTCGTGGAGATGGCAACTTTTTTTGTCCTTAGAGGACGGAGTCCTTGCACTTTACTATTGTAACGAAGCACTTGCACTTATTATTATTATTATTATTATTATTATTGTAATTTATTATTGTAAAGAACATATCTTGATGAGAATCTTCGATACAGATGAATCCTATAGAATACCCTACCTGTTTTTTAAACCAGAAACCGATAGACTTTTTGATGAGGATACGTCAAATATGAAATTTGCTTTAGAAAACCGATTACACTGGAAGATTTAAAAGGCACGTTTGAGTGAGAACGCACTGCGACATTAATTAAAATAAATTATTAGTCTATGAATATGAGCAGTTAACCAAAATGTGAATATATTTGAACATATACACTAGGAGCAGAAGTTTTGCATTTGATGTAGATTCTCTTACAATTTAAACATTTATATCATGTGGATAAAAATACATATAATAATTCGAGATACCTTCGAAAGAAGTTTCAACCATTTTGATTGTATTCGGCAGGTGGGCTTCGCGACGGTAAACCCATGCTTCGAGGAACCCTATTTACAGTTTAAACATTTGGCTAACTATCCTGACTATTAGAAATTGGCGCAGTAGCAGATGACGTCTTCGAATTATGCGATAGTCGTTTTTCGCAGCGCATAGAGCTTTTGGTGGACCGCACACATTATGTGCGGTATGATTAGCTTACCCGTGCGCTCTCCAGTGAAGGTCTTGTTCAAATATGTAGCTGGGCCTGACTGTTTTCAGCCTATCCATAAATTATAATGTTTTAAAGAACAACTTTAGCGTTGATGGATGCGCGGAAGCTCACGCCTAAGAATACATTCTTACGGAACATACTTAAAATTAAACGTCGAAGAAAACGTGGTAAACACAGAGTAGGAAAGCCAATGGGTGGGATGCAAGTAGACTGGATTCTTTTTAATCACAATTTTGGTCGATTAGAGACTTATTCAACCATTTCAACGCCTACATCCAGTTTCGTATATGTCCTTTATAACCTATTGGTAAGAGAAAACAGCTTGCTATCGAACACGCCAGTAACAACTAACCGGGTACAAAGCTGTCTCCGCTAAACTTTTCTCGTGCTACGATTCCGTTTCGACGGATCACTTTTGGCACAACACTCTCCCGTGGTTGAGGCCTTTCCAAATCGCCAAAGTTCAAATCCTCAATATCATCTATATATTGGTGGCTTTTCTTCTCCCCTGGGTCAACAACCATATTTCCTTGCCAAGAGGAAACACACGTCCCTGACTAAAAATGCTATAATGCGAGCTTCATCATACTGATCTCACTCAAAACTGTCGATTCAACAGTAGCTTGGGCAATCAAAAAAACGTTTTCAAACACGCGTTCGAAATGACGCTTGGAAGGGAATATGCTAGTATGGTCGTCTGCTACGACATTCGCGCTTATATTTTTGTACATTGCAGATTAAATTTCATTTGCTTATTCGTGTTCTCTTTTTCATCACATTCGGGCTCTGCTATATATCGCCCTAAATTATTGTTGATTAAAAATATATTGGAATTAATTATCTAATCAGGTGCTTACATTTTTGAAGTCACACCGTTTTTTAGGGGAGCTAGAAATGATTCGGTCCCGTGAAATCTCACACATGATAAAAATGCGCAAACATATTGAACAAAATCTAACAGCACCAGGGTTGTTTTAATAAAAAGACACCAAAATTGCGACATTGGGTTCTATAGAAGCTGTGACCGAACCCATATTTACCATGCTTTAAATGCGTCTAACGCTCAAGTCACTTTTCAAGCTGCTTTTGTAGAAATAGAGGAACCCAATTTCAAACATATTAGAAAGTATCTACTTCAACTAAAATGAAACCAAGTAGCTAAATTTGGAATCGTGAAAGGCTGACCTGGTCGCACCAGATTTGAAAACTGGACTAGGATAGCGTGTAATTAAAACACTAATTGTGCTCAAAGCTACTTTCTGTTACAGTAATTACTTATATTTAAGCTTAAAAGTATTTTCAGTGCATGATTTCATTTCAAATTTGACGATATTTTAAAAGCCCTATTTTGAATATTTTTATATTTCTAGTGCAAATTGGTCTAGGCGATTATACTGTGATTGACAATAAGACGATTCTAGACGTCCAGATGTGACGATTTCTACAGATTCTAGTACACCGTAATATATAATAGCTTTCACGGAAATCTATGCGAAGTAGTCTCGTAATTTGCGAGGTAAAGCAGTCCCGCTCTTGCACGCACTCGTAATGATTTCTTCATTGTCACCTATGCATTCATTCAAAACAGTGGCAGCAGACTATAACATTATTATTATTATTATTGTGGTATTCGCCGCGTCCTACGGTTGAGTTCTGTCATGGTCGAAGAGTGCGGCCTAGCAAATTTGTCCTGGTTCAGTGAATACACAGTTAAATTATTGAAAGGTATGTATCGTATGCGTGGTGTGTCGTATTTCTGAGTAGTAAGTTTCTCGAGAATCTCTAGATGTACACTATTGTGTACGACATGCCGACCCAGCTCATCCTGATTTTTTAACATTTGTAATGCGCTCACATAGGAGCCAATCGCCTCAAAAGCTTGAAATTGCGACAAGTTCTAGTCAGTTTGCGCAAATTAATCAACTTACAAAAAGTATAATACAGTTTTTAAAACCTTTTAAAGAGAACAATTTCCTCTGGGGCAAGTTTAGCTTTACCACGAAACTTGCGGTGACATCATCTGAGGGACAGACATCTGCACGCATATAGACAGTTTTTGTTAATGCGAATAACATTTTGTTCCCATAAGCTTAGCAAAAAATGTGTGGCCAAAGAATCGTATGAGGCCTAGCCATTTCTATTCGCTCCTATTCAATTGTTCTTCTTCAGCGTTTGGCCTGCTTCTGTTGTTTCTGTGATTGCCACAATATCTCCGCTGCCGCCTCTAGCGTCAAAAAAATATTGCTTATCGTTATATGGATAATAGTTTTAACTTGCCCACTTCATTACTTAGTTTTGTTAGTACTTGCCTTGCTTGTAAGCGTCGTTGTTTTACAGAAGCAGCTTCATTTTCCATCGATGTTCCCACGATAGCGGCCATCGCGGAGTTGCTGCTGCTGCTCAATGAGTAAGCGAAAAAAAAGGCGATATTGAATCGTCGGCGTTTGTTTGAAACACCTGGAGATCGCTACCAGCTGATGGTGAGTTCCGTTTGCGACGTTGAAAAGAAGTTGCGCGCTCTCTCACCACACTAGAACGACTAAATGAAGTTATCGGATAGGCCACGGGGAAAAGTAGTGTTGAAAAACCACTTGGGACGAGAACCAGAGACTGAGTGCGCTCGTCGATCCTGTTTTAGAGATGCTTTTGAATTTAGGGGAACATCGGGCGCTCAGTTTGATATAGCCTATCTGGCGTTGCTTAAAAATCCATTCCTAAGCTGAAAATGATCGTAATGAGCGAGGATGATTGGCAACTTGTAGCGCGAAAACTTGTCGAAGCAAGCAAGACCGAAACAAGACAGTTGTAAGAAATATCGATTTAATCCCCTTCAGTTTTGTCAAGGAACTCCATGGGAAGCGATGCATGGCTTTAGCAATATCACACGCCTATGCACGTACGACTGAAGGGCAATACGGCGAATGGAAGTATATCCGAATCATAAAGACAAGAAGCAAACACAGAATGCTAAAGGGTGCCTCGCAGTTTCACAAAATGTTCAAAGGCCACCCTCGTCAACTTCAATTGTCGAGCTCAAGTAGAAGTTAATGAAAACTTTAAAAGCGTCCGAAGCAGTGGGAACGATTTATTTTGTCGTATTGTTAAGAAACTTTGCACTTATCGTGTGTGATAATTGAGCTGTTAAGAAACAAGCCGTCTAGTATACATGTTGTGCCAAGTGAACCGTGTTTACTAAGTTTTTGGAGCAACCTGAAGAACAATTCTGACGTTTTGATACTATATGTTGTCACTTCTCTCATAAATACGCAATTTTGTTTTTCTCAACATGGCATTGTTTAATTATTTCAGCAGGTTAAATTTCTCCGGCTGGATCACTCGATTTCATAGCTGTATAAGTCCGATGAAATGATCACGTGGCTAAACTAATTATAATTGGCATTGTTTTTCCTCTTTTCAACCACCGTACTTCAAGTAAGAGTCCCGACGAACCTTATTAAAAAATTTTGGGCATGCCTTACAACGCGCACGGCTTCGAATTTGCTGCATGTTTTAATAGGACAACATATTAAATGTACCGTACTTCTTTGAAACTTGCAACCGTTTAAAAGAATTATTTGTGCACTTTTCTGGTGAAACTTGTAGGCAACTAGATGGAATTAGCGGCTCGGGGGCAAGCTACGCAGATCAAATCATAATTGTTTTGGACGCTCTATGGATTAAGTATTATACATGCTTTTTGCTATGAATGCTAAAGGGTTTATCAGGAAGACTGCAAAATACCAGATTTAACGGGAACTAATTGCTCAGTAGCTTGTCGGATCTCAATTGCTCGGTTAATTCTAAACATAGGTTAGCACAGGCTATTTCCCGAAAAGGCACTGACAAATCCACTGCCTGTTGCCTTTGTTGACCTTCAAAGAATGTTTTTAGGTCATGTGCTTGAGCATTGAGTTCTCTATACGAACTCATTTGCCTGCAAAAATCTTGCTCATTGTTATTCTAGATTTCGAGGGCGGCTACATGCGAAAATTGGGATATAGGAATATAGAAAACTGTAAATAGCTCGAACTACCAAGAAACCTAGGTGATACAAAGGTCCGCTGGGTGCTATCCGAAAGCAACATCAAGATTACTGAACTACCACTCAGCGATGCAATAATATTTATATATAAAATTATATATAATATTTAGATGCTACGCAAGTATCGTCTTTAAGCGTTGTGACCCAGAATCATATCGAGTATTGCTGTTGACACTGGCCACTGTTTATAAAAACGGTAGGTATCAACAAAAAGCTTAAATTATGCATCATTAGCACGACAACAACATGATCAGAGGGATCTTTGCGTTAAAGTGTGATTATAGCCATTGGGAACTAGGAAGACATTTAAAAAAAAATCAAGGATGTGTTATATCTAACTAGTGTTGAACGAAATCTTACCTTTTTGTTTTGATGTCCTGACCTAGCTATTTTTGTTTAATATATAATTCTCTTAGGTAAGAGTAGCTGCTGGTGTATAAACTGGCGTCTCTGTGTTGACTAATAAACGTTGGTAACTATTAAATAAAAGCAATTAGCGTAATGTGCTCTTTTCGCGCTTAATGTTAAACTCTGCTCTCTTAGCATAACTTCCAAGTATCTAATACACTGACGACCCAGTTCGTCGCAGTACTATATGTGTGCTGATAAATAAATACGAAAAGCAATCAACACGATATGTGTGATTGCTGCGAATCCATTAGTTGCTTTCGCGAAAGGAACATTTTATACAGACGAATTAGTTACTACAGTAACTAGTTTATACAGACGAAGCCGGACACATTTCAATGAAGTTAAGTGTCAGAAAAGCACCATCATAAAAATTTAGTGCTTGAGTTCCGTGGTCATGTATTACAAAATGGTCTTACGATACGTATGTAAAATGCATAATTCTGTCTTGTAAAAATGCTTCTTTAACGAAAGGACATACATGTAATATAAGCACAATGACCTTAACCAGCTGCGGACTCGAAACATTGGCCTGACGTCTTCCTTCGATCGAGATATACCAGCGCGGCCCTATGAGCATTGTGCATATGCACATTTCTAGTAAGATGCATCATTATATCTTTAGGTAACCTACAAGGTCTTAGTAACTTATCTTAGGCCGCTTAGTAACTCGAAACATAAAAACACTACTGTGTTATTATTGATAATAAACACGTGAAAAAAACGAAATCTGGCATTGAAGTGATAAAGTGTTCAAATAATCAGTACTCAGTTAACTTTCTGTAACTATAAAAATGCCACATGACAATAAGCTTGCTTGCAGTATCTTTGACCTGTATGCTCAAATTCAGTATTACCAGCGCCATAAATTTGCTCGCTCTGCACTGCAACTTATTCAGCTGGATCGTAAACTGAGGAAATTAGGCGATATCAAGAGCTGTTTTTCTTCATTTCAAAATGCGCGCGTCATTCTGCCAGCAGCACTCATCTAGCAAAGTTATGAACTACCTTGTGGCATCGTCCTTCTGTATCTGGTACACTGAAACATACGAAAAGTACACGGGCATTTTAAGCAATGGTTCTTCTGCAACAGGCAATATCATAGGCGGTGAGCAGAATACTATAATTGAAAATGCACTACCGGTATTCAGTGTTTTCGTATAGCAATAGCGATGCAGCCAGTAACAATGAAACCGTTGCTAACTAGAGTATATCGAAACATACTGGTTAGAGAACAACAGGTGCTGAACGATCTCCGTCAATAGGTTCAGGATTACACAATAAGCAAAAAGGTGCCTGGAAAGAATTTCAACGGAATACATATTCTTTAGAAGCATTAATTTCATAATAAAAAGGGGATTGTTTAAAAAAAGTGAAAGAATGGCAAACCTGCAACGAAGTAGACTATTACCAAGCTTCATGTTGAACTGAGCCTTCGCGTTCACAGCCACAATGCCCCATGGATACACAGTCAATGACGTCTTTTCATTATCAGGTAATGTATAAATTTTATTGGACTTGTTTTATACGGTCAGTCATCTATACGAACCACTAAAGCAAGCAACACAAACGAGTACTTAGTCAATAAGTTAGGATTTGTTTGAAGGTGAACTTGCAAGGAGGAATACATAGGAAATCGAAACGGAGTCGATAGTGATTCATGTTAATTATAGCATCTGAATTTTTATAAAAATAAACAACACCGGTTCGATGATGTTGTTATCGTCGTTGCTTTCCGAAGCAGGCTTTTAGATTCATGAAAATATAAAAATAGGATTCTGCAGTACAACTCGCAAGTTTTAGGTTTGAATTGGTGTATTGTCTAAAGCGCGCTAGAGTTGGCTATCATAGGGTAACACTTTTCGAGAGAGCGGTGAGCACCATAGAGTCTTTGAGCCTCTGCTTTGGGGGTTACCTAGGTAAATTTATTAAGAAAGCAAAGCCAAGGAAGTGTGCAAGTCTGATACGAAGTTTTCATAGAACGTTTTGTCTAAACTATGTCACTACATATATTGGTCTCTGCAAACGGCTAATTATAAGTCTCGGTGAGATACGACTGCTGTATTATTAAACCAGTAGTGTCTGACTTGAAAATTAGAAATTGCTTAGAGAGAAACAGATATATAAATCGATTAAGATCGTGTAAGTTGCCATACTATAATTGTTTTATTGGCAGTAATATGTTTCACGAAGCCCCTTACGTAAAACTCAGCGACGCTAACAAAACTTGACACTGCTGATTCACTCGTTGAAGGCGTCACAGAGTATTCGGAATACTGCATCTAGCCAATATTCTCAGATATCTCTCTCCCTAGTGGTAGAGAAAACTGTTGTTGTATACATGCGCATATTACGATAAGAATCAGACGAGGTGGGAGCTCGTCCATTTAGTGCGAAGCAACAACTTTACTGCAACGAGTTTTATTTTCGTAGAGTTAGTGCACTGAGTACCGCTATTGCCATTAGTTGAGAACTTTGAATTTATCGTCAAAATGGATTAGTAGTGCGCTTACGGGGTTATCTGTAAGTATACGCTCGATATTGTGCAGCTGCTCTTTGTAACAACAGTAAGAACAACGCAATATTGACTGCTCATATTGGGGATCAGCTGGTATAACAACAACTGTCCAGCTGTTCGTTTATGAGATTGAATGCTCATGAGCAGTGATTATGGTAAATGTCCGCTACTTTTCAAACTAAAGTGACGTTGGGAGAATTATCATATTTTGTATACGTAGTCTTCTAGGCGGAAATCTGCAACATGAATCCTTTGTGTTACATATTACGAACCATTTTGAAACGAAATTCGCCTTTCTTGGTCGTGTAGACCAAACGGGGCCATATAGCCAGATGTGATTTCTTACCCCAAGATTACCTGTGATGAGCGTAGAGCTATTATAGAAACTACTATTTATGTACTGTGCATTATATAATGAATTACGAGATCAGACAACGGTGTCCGTGCGATTGGTTGCGAATCCGGTAAATAACTGTGTCACCTACATTGGACAGCTATCTATATTGCGTCAACACGAAGAGATCTATGTTGAACTAGAATTTTGCGTCATAACTGAGTGAAGATTATAAAGGGCAAAGGTTCAAAGTATGAAAAAATAGATTAGTGAGACAGATAATTGAGCATTTAAAATAAATTATGAAAATCGCTAGCGGGTTATTAAAATTAATTTACCTTTGAAAAATTATGAGTTATTAAAGAAAAATGGTGCATGTGTTTGGCTTTGCGGTTCGAAGATAGTATTAAAAAAACAGTGCAAGACTACCATTGAGTACCGGTTGTATGTAAGCCGGTTCCACCAATTCCTAGGATGCTAATTATTTTTTTTAACGTATTCTCTATGTGGTTGATTGCTCGCTCCATTGATATTAAAAAAGCGCTTTA